AAGGTTATTTAGAGAAGCATTGAAGAGGTAAAAAGGACCCCAGACCAACCACCAGGAGTTAACTAATCGTTTTTGGAATTTGATAGGTACAGTAGTTCAACAATTTCCACCCCGATGACTTCCGATCAGCCTGCACAATTGCTGCACTCTATCGTTGCAACTATGGAAAAACAAGCGCAATTGCTCGAGTAGTTCAAAAATCATAACATATTTTGGAAACTAAGCCAGAGGGTGTAAAACTTCCGACGTATGGAAGTAGGTTGTAGGAATCATTTTGGCTCTACACGGAGCAAGTGGAACAACACTTTTTTGCAAAAGGAGTGGACTGGAAGAGTCCAGACCTGTCGATAAGGGTACTAACTTTTAAAAGCGGAATACTGAAGCAAGAAGTCGCTCAGTGGTATGTGATGCAAAAACAGAATGTTACAAATGTGGACGACTTTTTCAGCAAAGTCTAACGTGATTCTGTATTGGCAAATTTACAAGAGCGTCTGCGCGGGGGTATGAACCTGTAAATGCCGTTAAGGTGTGAAAAAAAAACTGAAGTAGAACTTATTGGCTTCGATTCAAGAAGACTTAGTTTGGACACACCCGTGCAGGGTCGATTTCTAGTATGTGATGGTGTCATTATAAACAAATCCGTCAAGATTTTGATCGACTTTGGTGCGTCCACAAATCTGATCAAACCTGGTCTGGCCTCCAAAAAAATTAAGCGCAAAAAAGGTGCATGCGTGTCGTTTTGACGGAGCGTAAACGTAGAGTCTGTTCACAAAGAGATTGGAAGATACCTTTCGCGTGGACGGTACGGAGTTCCCAAGGATGCAATTTATGGAATGGGACCCACCGGGTATGCACGACTTAATATTTGGTCAACCATGGTTTGATCAAACACAAATAAGGATCGGTTGGCGATTGCAGCATATTGAAGTTGAACCTCACACGAAGTTCGAAGACGTGAATGGTCCTACATCACAAGAGAAGCTGAATCGTGAATCGTATGAGGATACATATTAGCTAAAGGTTACCAACGTCGAACTATCAGAAATATCACAAGAGTTAAAACCACTTCTGGATGAGTACAAGGACGTATTTCCCAAACAAAATCCGAATGAAATGCCTACAAAGCGATCGGTGAGCTTCGAACTGCATATAAAGCCTGGTGCAGTGCCGACTGCCCGTGCTCCCTTTATCCTTTTGAAGGTTGAGAGAGACGCACTTTAACAATTCGCTGGAGAGGATTTGAGAAAAGCATGGACAGATGTATCCAACTTGCCATGGGTCTCCAATGTTTTCGGAATCCCAAAGAACAATCCCACGACCACAAGATTCCCAAAACTCGCCGAATGGCTCCAAGCCAAAATTCGAAGAATCCTCTTCGCTGGGTGATTGACCACCGCTGTACGAATAGCAAGTCAGTAGTAGCAAAAATTTCTTTTCCGTTAAACGAAGAACTACTCAACCGTATTGTTGGATGCAAGTAATTAACGCTTCTCGACCTTTTTAAGAGTGTTATCGAATGGTAGTTTTGCCATACAGTCGACCATAAACGGCTTTCAGAACTTCCAAAAAAACTTTTCAATGGTGCGCAGCACTGATAGTAACATCAGGAATGTCTGGGGGTTTGGTCACGTCTCATGAGAACGTTAATGGATAAGCTAGGCACCTTCGTTTCGTGTATCTGGACGACATATGCATCTTCTCCCGTACAGTGGAGGACAAAGTCGGCCAAGTTTGTGCCGTATGCGAAGTGTTGCGCAAATATAGAAGCTTTACGCTCGACACTCCAAATGTGCCTCTGGTCGTAAAGAAATCAAATTCTTAGGGAATACGGTTTCCGCTGCAGGTCTACGCGTCGACCCGAAGAAAACAGATTCTATCGCAACGTTCCAAACACCGTCCTGTCGTAAGGAGTTGCAGGGTTTTCTGGGACTAACTGGGTATTACTGACGATTCAACGGCAATTTTGCACGACTATTGCGTCCTCTTCGAAAGTTAACCGAACAAGATACCCCATGGAGCTGGGAAAACGATCATCAAAATGCGTTTAATGCCTTAAAGCTCGCGCTTCAGCAAGCCTCGACTCTGAAACTTCCTGACTTTGATCACCCATTCGTCGTAACAATGGATGCTTCTGGGTTTGCATAGGTGGTGCTCTTTTTCAGCGTATAAACGGCGACGACCACTCCGTTGCGTTTTATTCGAAACATCTGGGCCCACTTGAATTATAATGGGCAGCTCACGAGAAAGATCTGTTAGCTATCAAAACTGCACTTGGAAAATGGCGTCCGTATCTCCACGGAAGACACTTTCAGTGTATACAGACCAATCCACGTGCAGGTGGATTCTCCACCATTACAAGGTGCCTATAAAATGTCTCGTATGTCAATATTCTTTTCCCGTTTTGAATTTGTCTAATATCGTGTCCAGGGACGGTCCAATGTGGTGTCTGACGCATTATCTCGTCCTACCGTGTCTAGCGAGACTTCCAGCAACTCTGAGGTGCATACGGCACATGTTCCAGATCCGTCGCAAGTCGTTGATGAGTTTGCAAGTGCCTGTAATGAACACTTCACGCTATAGGAAAAGCACATGGTTCACGCTGCGTTCGTTCAGTGCATTCCGCTGAATGTCTCCCAGCTCTTACTCGACGATGTGCAAGTGCGGAGAGAAGAGTCGCCAGATAGGAGTCACTCAAGAGCAAATTAACACAGCCGAGTTTAATGTTGTGCGCGCCCATATCAACGCCTAAGTGCGCAAAGCGATTTAGCAGGGCAACAGCAAAGATAAGCTATTCAACAATATCTGAAAAATCAAGTGGCCGGAAAACAGCTTCAAAATTGTCGAAGGACTTATATTTATGAAGCAAGATGATGCAATGCAGCAAATATGCATTCCAGACATACCGGAATACAGACGAAGATTCGATACGAGTTTCATGATTCAGCCATAGCAGCACATCCAGAAGCTTGCAGAAGTTACATGAAGTTAAATCGATGATGCTACAGGCTGAAGATACTGGAGACGGTACACAAATACGTCGAGACATGTAAAACATGCGCTCTACGTAAGTCAAACAGCCAGCGAAAGAAGAAAATAATGGTACCTATGCCCATTCCGGAAGCATGCTGGAAAGTAGTATCAATGGATTTCATTACTGGACTACCCGTGTCGGAAAGGTGCTATTTGCGTCATCATAGACACATTGTGTCGAAGAGACCAATCTATGCGCCAACGTATACGAATGCAGGTTCCAAAGACACAGCCAAGTTATTTCTCGATTCCGTAGACCACCATCATGGACTACCAAAGATTATCATCAGCGATATGGATCCGAAGTTCACGGCAAACTTTTGGAAATCTCTAATGACCATAATGGGTGTCAAGCTAAACATGACTATCGCTCAGACAAGCAGATGGACAGACAGAACGCCAAAACTTGGTGTTAGAAGACGCTGTACGCTGCCTCTTATCTTACTGTACGAAAAATTGGGTCAAGTTACTTGGTACTGTAGAAAATACGCACGCCACTTCAGTAAACGCGTCTTCTAAGCTCACCCCGTTGGAGATTATTACCGAAAGAAAAGTATCAGATCTGATTTATCACGAATACAAAGACTACGATGGTATGAATACACAACCCATATCAGAGCTCGCCTCAAAGTTCGCCAAGGATCGCCAAAATCTAGCGTGTAAGGCACGCGAAAATCGAAATCAAGCCCAGGAGAGACAAAAAGAAGTACTGCGACTCGAAAAGAACAAGCTTCACCTGTTGTGTCGGTGACTTTGTTCTGCTGGATATCAAATACCTTCCACACAAAACAATCGACGCTCACATTCAGTTAAATGAAGCTGAGCTAACAGCGAAGAAAGCTGGACCATTTGTGATAATCTCGATGACCAACCCGAATGTCTAAACTGAAGCTACCGCGAAAGATGAATAGACTGCATCCATCGTTTAACGTCGACCTACTTTATCCATATACGCCCATTTCGTCCAAATTTGCTGGACGACCGATTCCATAGGCCGCACCAATCATCCTAGAGGCAGATACTGAGAAGGAACTACACATTGTGGAAAAGTTGCTTCGTCGTCGTCAGCGCGGCCACAAAGTGGAATGGCTAGTAAAACGGCTCGGCCTCCTATAGTGTGATAGTACTTGAGAGCGCGAGAAAGATATCCGCCATGTTTCGCATTGGCAGCGACTAGTACAGGGCGTTCGAGACCTCCAACGTGAAGTTAAGTCCGGGAGAATGTTTTGTCGCCGAGTCGTGCAAAACGACTGAGCTATCTATAGGCTAAACAGCCCATGAAGTCATTAGGAACATACGAGAAGGACATAAAACGATAGGCTTAGCACAGGGTAGCGAATTAAGGACCTATGTTAATTCAGTTCCGATTCACTAAGTGAACGTCGAGTCTTCACACTCTTGACAGACTTGAACAAACTTGAAGGAGCGACCATGCAAACAGCTAATTGCAGGCAAAAAGGTTGAAGTTGGTTGTACTCATACGCCCTATTGTCATCAGATTCTCTCGAGAGATCGAGAGCTGCACTACACCTGACCTGTGATAGGTACTGGTACAGTCAGGATCCGTCCAATTACTTCATTGACAGATCTCTTACGAGGATTCTCGTCGTTGTTGCATGGCAGCTACACATGCAAATACTACTCTTTGTCATAGCGCGTGAAATGCATGTGAAGTTGCGTTGTAGATCCGCTCGCAAAGTAGTAAATTCGTCCGCAATCTGGTAACGATGTGGTCTAAAAGCTTTTGATGGACTGAGTTATCATGATCCGATAAATGATCTCAAACCATCGTGTACTCTACCGTTGTGATATCAACATTTCGTAACACGCTGTCCCATCAACAAGAAAGCTCCGACTCCAGTACTAACGTTGGTGAAACTCTACGTAATCTGTCGGACACAACCCGATTTGCTCGGTGAAAGCAACAGTCACCGGATCACTTTCTCTCCTGCACTACATACGTCCAAAGCATGGTGTCGAGTCACGATACAGAAGTGGATGGAATCACTGCATTCTCGACATCGCCTGCGACGTCTTATCGCTACATCCTCCGACTCAAAGACGACAAATTGAGTATTTGGATGGAAGACCGAACCTGCAAAAAGCAATGGTATGCAATGAGTGCGAGATCATCTTCACCGTTGTGACTTTTGATTGTTGTGGTGTTGCAGGTCTAAGAGCGGGATGATCAAAGAAGACTACGTGACATCGGCCAATGCAATTGCAGATGCATCGGCGATCGATTACTTGAAGGTGTGCTTTTGTTGTGTTTGGTATCATGGCAGGTGTCGTGTAGCTCATTTTGTACATTGTAGCTGTTCCAAGACGCACTTGATGGTGAACCGGATGAGTCGGGCGATGCCCACTGCACGTTGGAAATGCTGAGTGGGGATGCTTGTCAACTGGTGGTTAGCGTCAAATTTCGCATTCTTCGCTCAGTGAGAGTGGTGAAGTATACGTTTGTCCTGGAGCCTGTATCAGTGGAGCGAATCGATGTGTTGAAATCCAAAATGCGCGACCAGCAGGAGGAATTGAAGCGAGTGCAGCAAAAATGTGCCACACATATACACCTTGAAGCTTTAACAAAAAATGACAAAACTAATAAGCTGCAGTGGAGCGATCCCGATTCGTATAACTTCGCGTTGGATCATGAAACTGGCGAGATCTTGATTCACCGACCGGGCGTATATAGCGTTACAATTGTGGTGAAGACTGGCACAAATCAAACGGTCTATTTTTGGAAGAACGTTGAGGACATCTTTTCGGTGAAACTTTCTAGCATTTTTAGTTTCAAGGCTGCTTGCACTATTGTCTGTTTTCATGCGAACGACAGACTGTCTGTTACGGTCGACTTATGGACGACTGGCCCTTGTAACCTTTTGATCGAGCAGATTGGACGCTAAGCTTCGATTACGTAAGAATAACAAAAAATGCCATTCGGTGTGAAGACTTTTAATTCACTTAGGTAAATAAAAACAGAATTGAAGTCGGTCCTTAGTTCGCTACCCTGTACTATCTCTAAGCCTGTCCTTCCAGGTCCTTCTCCAATGACTGCGAGATCAGACTTGTGACGTCATAGCCTATCTAACATCCATCCAGCTCAGTCGTGTTGCACGAATCGGCGGCATTACACTCTGCTCGATTGCAGCACTTGACTACCAGGATATGATCCATTGTGTGCAAAGTGTCAAGATCGGGCCAACTCGGTAGCATGCACGAGCACACGCCCTTATCAATTTGACTTTATAGTCGAACGCATTAACACAAAAACAGGTGCCATCGCCTTCGTCGTGTTGGTGGTCCTTTCGAAAATGATCTCTGCGCTGGGAACATTAGCGTAGATGCCACTTGCATGTACGACTAGTTACAAGACACACGAAACGCGATTTGCAGCGTTTAACTTACTCAGACATCCGGCTACTTATCACAACTTTCGGCATATAAGCCGGGGAGTTGCATGAGCATCGCAACACCAGGCTAAAGGTGTGTCAACGTGAGATTGGCAATTATCACACGTGCATTGCCCATGGCATCGCTACTGCATCAAGGTGAAGCAGATATACAACGGTGCACCGAGTGTTTAGTTGCCTGCAGCCATAACCACTTAGTCATACTATCCGTTCACACCATCGCACTAACGGCCGCGACACCTTCCTGACTACGATCAATACTCCACTGCACCCTTTTCTTCCCGCTGTAAGCGCAGCCAAGTCCATGACACTTTATTGCTTTTATTGACAGAGTTATATACAGCTCAAGTCTCTGGCATCACCATACTAACAAGGCCCTTGCTTGTTCGTCCTTGCCAACGCTTCGTGTTCTTTCACCAATGGTCATGCATCCGGCCACCCTCGTGTAATGTAAAGAAATCTTGCTCTGAAGATGCACCTCGACAGATTTGCTGTCGCTACCAACCGTTAAGTTAATTTGTCAATGTCGAGTCGAACCCTGCAAACCCCTTTTCCAGCAACATTTGTAATATTTTACGGCGACACTTGCCGAGCATACGGAGCACACTCTTGCGGATCTGGCACTGCACAAAGATCGACTTGCCCAGACTACGAATGCGCTCGCGAGTCGAATGCACTCACGCGTCTTCTTGCCGCGATGTGGCGCTTGACGGCCAGCGCACGCTTTGGATAGCCGCTTTTGTCTTGCTTTGTAGATAAGGGAACCGACAAACCGCATGTGAAGAGGAAAAAAATGTACCGGATGGCCGCACGGACAAAACAAACGATCATAACAGCGCGGATAACGCGGCAGCGAAGCGCAGGAAGGTTAATGCAGCAACGGAGCAGATGCACTATGTGCTTGTAGTAGTGGAGCAGGAGACCAATAGGGACAACATTTTGCGAGGAGAGCGAGAGAGCGATACCAGGGGTCTTGGAAGTCAACGGCATGGAAAGGGTCCGTGGAAAATGGAGGGGAAAACTGCTGCCGTCCCACCCGGCATTACACAATACACATGAGACACGCTTGACAGACTCAAACAATCTTGAAGGAACGACCATGCAAACAGCTAATTGCAGGCAAAAAGGTTGAAGTTGGTTGTACTCAAATGCCCTATTGTCATCAGATTCTCTCAAGAGATCGAGAGCTGCATTACACCTGACCTATGATAGGTACTGGTACAGTCAGGATCCGTCCAATTACTTCATTGACAGATCTCTTACGAGGATTCTCGTCGTTGTTGCATGGCAGCTACACATGCAAATACTACTCTTTGTCATAGCGCGTGAAATGCATGTGAAGTTGCATTGTAGATCTGTTTGCAAAGTAGTAAATTCGTCCGCAATCTGGTAACGATGAGGCCTTAAAGCTTTTGATGGACTGAGTTATCATGATCCGATAAATGATCTCAAACCATCGTGTACTCTACCGTTGTGATATCAACATTTCGTAACACGCTGTCCCATCAACAAGAAAGCTCCGACTCCAGTACTAACGTTGGTGAAACTCTACGTAATCTGTCGGACACAACCCGATTTGCTCGGTGAAAGCAAAAGTTACCAGATCACTTTCTCTCCTGCACTACATACGTCCAAAGCATGGTGTCGAGTCACGATACAGAAGTGGATGGAATCACTGCATTCTCGACATCGCCTGCGACGTCTTATCGCTACATCCTCCGACTCAAAGACGACAAATTGAGTATTTGGATGGGTGACCGAACCAGCAAAAAGCAATGGTATGTAATGAGTGCGAGATCATCTTCGTTGTTGTGACTTTTGGTTGTTGTGGTGTTGCAGGTCTAAGAGCGGGATGATCAAAGAAGACTACGTGACATCGGCCAATACCATTGCAGATGCATCAGCGATAGATTACTTGAGTGTACGCTTTTGTTGTGTATGTCCATGCAAGTAACGTGTAACCCACATAAGAAAGTATAGTTGTTCCAGGACACACTAGAAAGTAACCTGGACAAGTCGGGCTATGTCCAGTGCACATTGGAAGTGCTGAGTGGGGGTGCTTGCCAACTGGTGGTTAGCGTCACGGTTCGCATTCTTCGCTCAGTGAGAGTGGCGAAGTATACGTTTGTTCTGGAGTCTGTCTCTGTTGAGCGAATCGATGTGTTGGAATCCAAAATGCGCGATCAGCAGGAGGAATTGGTGCGACTTCAGAACAATTTATCACGCATGTACAGCTTGATGCCTTAGCGAAACTTGGCACTTCTCAAAAGTTGGTGTGCAGCGATCCCGATTCGAACAACGTTTCTGTCGACAAGAAAACTGGTGATGTATCAATTCGTCGATCTGGAGTTTACGGCGTCACTGCTCAGGTGATGGTTGGCGGGAACCATAGGATCTGCTTTTGGAATGATGAGAAGGATGTCTGTTTGGACGCACTTACTTGACTTTCAGGGCCATGATGTATGTTTGGACGCACTTACTTGACTTCCAGGGCCTAATCCGTTGCATGCTGTAAAGATTGCACCGACTAGGTAGTTCGCATGCATATCGATTCGACAACCGGAGCTAACACTAAGCTAAACACGATTACATGTGTCGTAGTAAAACAACGTGTTGCTTCTTGGGTAATCTTTTGGGCGCTGGAGAAACTGTGTGGGTGCCTTTTGTATGTAGGGCTTTTTGTACAACACTCGCAACGGCATTGTGGCGTATTATTGTACTCAAGCATCACGCTGCTTTTAACGACTTGCAGATTATACGCAGGAGAGTAGCACGAACATAGCAACACTTGGCTTTTTACCAGCCTTATAGTGGTGCATCTTTGACTTAAATACATCGCTCAACATCGCTACTGCAACAAATCAAAGTCGATAGACGAAGGTGAGTCAAATGTGCAGTTGCTTCTAGCCATAAGTCATGGCCTCAGCATCCGTTCATCCCGCTGCATAGATCGGCGCAACCTTTCCTCGATAATGATTGATCCTCCACTGCACCGTACGTCTTCATGCTGCCAACACGGTACTTAAAGCGGCGCAATGTCTATCGCTTTATTGCTTGGTGAAAGAGTCACATGCAGCTCAATTCTCAACCATAACCATACCAAAAAGACCCTCGCTTGTTCGTCCTTGCCAACGCTTCATGTCTGTCAACAATGCTCGTGTTACTAGCCACCCTATATAAACTGAAGAAACTATTGCCCTGTAGATGCACCTCGAAAGATTTGCTGTCGCTGCCTACCTCCAAGTCAATCTCTCAATGTCAGGCCAGCCCCCGCTAACCCCTTTATGGCAACATACGCATCATTCTATGGCGACATCAAACGGTTCTACTTGCCGAGCATGCGGAGGACGTTCTTGCGGACCTAGCCTTGTACAAAGACCGACTAACCTATTCGGCGAATGCACTTGCACGTCTTCTTCGTCACGATGTGGTGCTTGTTGGCCACCGCACGCTTGACGAGGCCAGTGCATTTGATTTTGATGCGCTCTCAGACAGCCATATTTTGTCTAGCTTTATAGATAAGGGAACGGATAAATAGCAAGTGAGGGAAGAAGGATATACTGGAGGGGTGCGTGGACAAAACAAACGATCATAACAGCGCGGATAACGCGGCAGCGAAGCGCAGGAAGGTTATTGCAGCAACGGAGCAGATGCACTATGTGCTTGTAGTAGTGGAGCAGGAGACCAATAGGGACAACATTTTGCGAGGAGAGCGAGAGAGCGATACCAGGGGTCTTGGAAGTCAACGGCATGGAAAGGGTCCGTGGAAAATGGAGGGGAAAACTGCTGCCGTCCCACCCGGCATTACACAATACACATGAGACACGCTTGACAGACTCAAACAATCTTGAAGGAACGACCATGCAAACAGCTAATTGCAGGCAAAAAGGTTGAAGTTGGTTGTACTCAAATGCCCTATTGTCATCAGATTCTCTCGAGAGATCGAGAGCTGCATTACACCTGACCTATGATAGGTACTGGTACAGTCAGGATCCGTCCAATTACTTCATTGACAGATCTCTTACGAGGATTCTCGTCGTTGTTGCATGGCAGCTACACATGCAAATACTACTCTTTGTCATAGCGCGTGAAATGCATGTGAAGTTGCATTGTAGATCTGTTTGCAAAGTAGTAAATTCGTCCGCAATCTGGTAACGATGAGGCCTTAAAGCTTTTGATGGACTGAGTTATCATGATCCGATAAATGATCTCAAACCATCGTGTACTCTACCGTTGTGATATCAACATTTCGTAACACGCTGTCCCATCAACAAGAAAGCTCCGACTCCAGTACTAACGTTGGTGAAACTCTACGTAATCTGTCGGACACAACCCGATTTGCTCGGTGAAAGCAAAAGTTACCAGATCACTTTCTCTCCTGCACTACATACGTCCAAAGCATGGTGTCGAGTCACGATACAGAAGTGGATGGAATCACTGCATTCTCGACATCGCCTGCGACGTCTTATCGCTACATCCTCCGACTCAAAGACGACAAATTGAGTATTTGGATGGAAGACCGAACCAGCAAAAAGCAATGGTATGTAATGAGTGCGAGATCATCTTCGTTGTTGTGACTTTTGGTTGTTGTGGTGTTGCAGGTCTAAGAGCGGGATGATCAAAGAAGACTACGTGACATCGGCCAATACCATTGCAGCTGCATCAGCGATAGATTACTTGAGTGTACGCTTTTGTTGTGTATGTCCATGCAAGTAACGTGTAACCCACATAAGAAAGTATAGTTGTTCCAGGACACACTAGAAAGTAACCTGGACAAGTTGGGCTATGTCCAGTGCACATTGGAAGTGCTGAGTGGGGGTGATTGCCAACTGGTGGTTAGCGTCACGGTTCGCATTCTTCGCTCAGTGAGAGTGGCGAAGTATACGTTTGTTCTGGAGCCTGTCTCTTTTGAGCGAATCGATGTGTTGGAATCCAAAATGCGCGATCAGCAGGAGGAATTGGTGCGACTTCAGAACAATCTATCACGCATGTACAGCTTGATGCCTTAGCGAAACTTGGCACTTCTCAAAAGTTGGTGTGCAGCGATCCCGATTCGAACAACGTTTCTGTCGACAAGAAAACTGGTGATGTATCAATTCGTCGATCTGGAGTTTACGGCGTCACTGCTCAGGTGATGGTTGGCGGGAACCATAGGATCTGCTTTTGGAATGATGAGAAGGATGTCTGTTTGGACGCACTTACTTGACTTTCAGGGCCATGATGTATGTTTGGACGCACTTACTTGACTTCCAGGGCCTAATCCGTTGCATGCTGTAAAGATTGCACCGACTAGGTAGTACGCATGCATATCGATTCGACAACCGGAGCTAACACTAAGCTAAACACGATTATTTGTGTCGTAGTAAAACAATGTGTTGCTTCTTGGGTAATCTTTTGGGCGCTGGAGAAACCGTGTGGGTGCCTTTTGTATGTAGGGCTTTTTGTACAACACTCGCAACGGCATTGTGGCGTATTATTGTACTCAAGCATCACGCTGCTTTTAACGACTTGCAGATTATACGCAGGAGAGTAGCACGAACATAGCAACACTTGGCTTTTTACCAGCCTTATAGTGGTGCATCTTTGACTTAAATACATCGCTCAACATCGCTACTGCAACAAATCAAAGTCGATAGACGAAGGTGAGTCAAATGTGCAGTTGCTTCTAGCCATAAGTCATGGCCTCAGCATCCGTTCATCCCGCTGCATAGATCGGCGCAACCTTTCCTCGATAATGATTGATCCTCCACTGCACCGTACGTCTTCATGCTGCCAACACGGTACTTAAAGCGGCGCAATGTCTATCGCTTTATTGCTTGGTGAAAGAGTCACATGCAGCTCAATTCTCAACCATAACCATACCAAAAAGACCCTCGCTTGTTCGTCCTTGCCAACGCTTCATGTCTGTCAACAATGCTCGTGTTACTAGCCACCCTATATAAACTGAAGAAACTATTGCCCTGTAGATGCACCTCGAAAGATTTGCTGTCGCTGCCTACCTCCAAGTCAATCTCTCAATGTCAGGCCAGCCCCCGCTAACCCCTTTATGGCAACATACGCATCATTCTATGGCGACATCAAACGGTTCTACTTGCCGAGCATGCGGAGGACGTTCTTGCGGACCTAGCCTTGTACAAAGACCGACTAACCTATTCGGCGAATGCACTTGCACGTCTTCTTCGTCACGATGTGGTGCTTGTTGGCCACCGCACGCTTGACGAGGCCAGTGCATTTGATTTTGATGCGCTCTCAGACAGCCATATTTTGTCTAGCTTTATAGATAAGGGAACGGATAAATAGCAAGTGAGGGAAGAAGAATATACTGGATGTAAGGGAGTGAATCGTTATATAACAATTCAGAAGAAATTGTTTACAGAATATGACTATAAGAGTTATATTCTCTGAATATTGTCATAAGGACAAATATTCTGTAGCACTTACGAGTAGTTCCTAATTCGTTGATAAAGGCCATTATATCAACTAACGAAGACGCGCCACGACAGACGCACGCAATGAGTGATGAGCAGATAGTTGATGTACACATTTGTATTCAGACATAGATAGGTGAGGACAAACAGTGATTTATTAACAGACATTAACTATGATAAATACAGGTCTACTTTTAACTTTAACCAAGTACTCGCTTCTTCTTACCGTCTTCCTCTGCACGTACGAGTGTACGTGAAGTTCCGAGGCACCGCCTTATTCAGTCAACAAAAAAAGTAACTTGTACTGGTGACAGTACAAGCTTCAGGGTGCCCCGTTACACCTGGTAGCACTTCGTAGTCCGTCCTAGGACCACGTTCACATCTAACAGGATTATGTTAGATGATGGAGATGACCAAATATTTCGCGCTACGCGTGACGGCTACTCCCATTTGAGCGATGTCGAATGGGATGCGGTTGAACGAATGGGTTCAACCATGGGCATCCATGCTGTTAGCGTCATGCTAGAGGCTCTCAATAGAGATGCCCAACATGCTACTATCGCCAAGTTCATTCGAAATGAACTAGACGCCGAACGCGAGAAAGTAGCCTTGCTTCACCAACAAGGTTCTCAATAAGCAGAGTTGTTGAGAGAACAGGGTGCTCAACAGTTTGAACGGTTGAGACAGCAGCAGGCTGCTGCTGGTGGGTCGATGCGCTCGCGTTGACCCGAGACTTTGAAGATTGACATCTCCAAGTTTAGGGGGCGAAGAAGACTCCCTCCTGAGATGGTTTGTCGAATCAGACGACGCCATAAGGGCGCGTCGCATCAACGATGGGGGTATGCAAGTTGCATGTGCCCAATCATGTCTGGCAGGAAGTGCCAAGACTTGGGCTTTGGGATCAAGTTGCACGACCAATATGCGTTTGGGTCGTTCAAAGTCTTCAAGTCGCGGCTCGGACCAACGTTTGAGCCGCCCAGAGCTGAGTTCAGAGCTCGGACCGAACTCCTGAAGCTCAAGCAGGGTAAGCGTGGTGTGCACGCTTACGCGCAACATATACGACATCTTACGAGTTGTATAAGTTCCAATCCGGTGGATGAACACACGTTGGTTTCGGTGTTCATGCAGGGTTTTGCGGATGGTCCCGTCAAGACTCACCTGTTCCGACTTGAACTAGATTCACTAGAACAAGCCATTTCCATTGCGGAACAGGAAGACTTCAGTCTGAGACAAGCTCGCGCCAGCTCGACATCATATCGTCAACCGAGACGATATGACAACGGAGGTCCAGAGCCGTTGGAACTCTGTTATGTAGAGAGCGAGAAGGCTCGCACTACAGACTACAAGAAGTTGCAAAAATGCAACAGATGTCAAAAGACAGGACACTACGCTTACGAGTGTAGTGCCCCTCGTCCAGTGTCTCGCAACACTGGGCGTAGTGACCTTCCACCCATGAGAAAGGGGCAGGGACGCGGGTCCGCTGTTGGTGCAAAGACGCAACAACGGGATGGACCGTCAAAAAACGGACAGGATCAGTAGGTGCGGAGCACCCTACTGGTCCAGCAACGTCAAGAGAATTGGTGTGCCGCTTGGTGAAGGTTGCTCCCAACACACAAACTTTGTGCGTTGCTGCTCTAGGTAATGAGATCTCACTCATTACCTTGAAACTCGAAGTGACGAATAAGTTGTCTCTTCGAGCTCTAGTCGATTGTGGGTAGTCCAGCAATTTTGTGCAACGCCAATCGCTAGAAGATGGTCAATTTAAGTTCAGTGAATGTGACACACCTCCTACGAGGATGACGGTACGTCTTGTGACAGGCGCATCCGTAACCGTCCTAAAGCGCATAGTGAAGATCCACCATACTCTAGAAGATACCCAATATGACGATGACTTTATCGTATTGGATTTGGATGAAAAATTTGATGTCATCCTTGGAATACCGTGGCTCAGAAGGTACGAACCACGAGTAAACTGGCAACATCGGACAGTAAAGATGCCTGCCGCTTGTTCATCAGATGGCCATCTGATGAACGTTTTGGAGCGTCCACAAGCGTGTGGATGTACTACGAGTGAGTGCGATGGACTCACTTGTGGTACGGTCGTTAGTACGACTGCACAAAACCTTAGTGTACCAAACGGTTACACTTCGGAGCAAAGTTCCGGCGGCTGTGAGGAAACACAGGCTGCGCCGAAGGTCCACCACTCGAATAAGTCGAGTGGTCCGGGACAAAGATGTATCCCTAGCGGGGAATATCTAGAAGAGAAACAACCGATCGCTCAGGTTAAGCGAAACGATAATCCTAGATCGACTGGAGAGTCTTTCGTAGAGGATTTTGCTGTGGTTGCGCAACCCCAGCTAGAGGAAGTTAAGGGAATAAGTCCCAAGATTACAAATACGGCGGAAATAAGTTCCCCGAAACCCGCGGGAATAAGTCCCCGGGAAGCCGAAGGAATAAGTCCTTCGAGGCCTGAGGGAATAATTCCCCAGGAAATGACAGAGACATTGAATGTCAAAGTCAATGACGGATCAAGTGTAGGCGCTTATACACTTGATCTGATTGCGCCTCCGAAGTTGAATTCGGAGATCACTCAGTTGCCAACGCTCGAACATAAAAGGTTCTTGCGTGATCTGCGTAGTGGCAAAGTCAAGCAGATCTGCGTACTCGTCGCTGACGACGAGTGTGTAGCCGACATAAGGTCAGCAACAGTGTTTACTGAGAGCGAGAGAGTTCTCAGTAGTTCATCTATGGACGAGAGCGCCCTAGATGAAAAGACACGAGTTGAGCGATATGACTCCCAATCGCGGTAATCGCTCAAGACAAATCCTCTCTATGAAGATTTGGTTGAATTCAAGGATGTATTCCCTGAAACTGTTCCGTGCGAGTTACCGAAGGATAGAGGTATTCGACATGAGGTCGAGCTTAAACCAGGCTCGAAGTACCATGTCATGAAGCAGTGGCCACTGCCTCGTGAACAAGTACTTGCGATCGACAAGTTCTTTGCCGATCTTTTAGCTGCGGGCCATGTGAGGGAATCAACTTCCCCACATAGCTCTCCGACCTTCTGTGTGCGAAAAGCAACAGGAGGGTGGCGGATAGTACATGCATTCAACCAGTTGAATGCTGCAACGATACCGGCTCAGACGCCGATACCAAGGAAGGACGTAATCATTGATGGTACGTCAGAGAGTACCATTTTCTCATGGATTTGATGGATGACTTCTATCAGATCCTCATGCGAGAACGGGATATACCCTAAACCGCAGTTAGCACGCCTAGCGGCATGCTCTGGGAATGGCTAGTAATGCCACAAGGGCTTAGTAATGCCCCTGCCACGTTAAACAGATGTGTATCACATCTGTCGAGACCAGTGCGAGAATTCGAACCGAGTCATTTCGATGACGTATTCATCCATAGTCGGGCTATGGATGGAAAGTCGGACGTTGAGGTTCACAGGTACCACGTCCGACGGGTTCATACAATCATGCGAAAGCATCAATTGTATGCAAACCTCAAGAAGTGTATAATAGCAGCAAGCGAAATACCACTTCTTGGGTGCATCGTTGGTAAGAACGGTGTACGTCCTGATCCCGAAAAGATCAAGGCGATCACCGACTGGCCTGTGCCGGTTTATGTCAAAGGTCTTCGAAAATTCCTTGGGCTAGCGGCGTATTTTCACAAGTATTCACGCAATTACGCCAAGATGACTGTACACCTCTCTCGTTTGTTGAAAAAGAACGAGAGGTGGTTATGGAACGCTGAATGTCAGCGCTCCTTTGATGGTATCAAGCAGAGCTTGATACAATCCCCAGTCCTAGCAATAGTCGATCAGGACAGGCCATTTCATGTGGTATGTGATGCCAGCGATTTTGCAATCGGCTGTGCATTAATGCAGTACGATCTTGAAGGCGTTGAACGCGTCGTCTGCTATCAGTCGCGTCAGCTGCAACCATCTGAGAGGAACTATCCAGTGCATGACAAGGACCTCCTTGCCATGAAGTATGCACTCGCGAAGTTCAGATTCTATCTATTAGAAGATAGACCCTTCACTGTTTACACTGACCATGCGTCATTACGCACGGCAGTGAACAGCCCGCACCTTTCACAACGAATGGCGCGATGGCTGTCATTCTTTGCAGAATACAACTTTACGGTCGAGTACAAACCAGGACGACTTAACGTCGTCGCTGATGCACTCTCACGTCGGCCCGACTTTGAAACAGTCGTGCAACTCAACAGTGAGACAGTCACTGTTGCGGTTATGACGTCCTCAGTCCCATCTTCAACGTTACATGATGATGTGAGGCGGGCATACGCCCAAGATGGTGAGATTGTGAAGTTGTTGACACATCTCTCCCAACTATCTCAAGAATCGTTGAAACGGTTGTCGCCTGCGTATCGATCTGCATCAGATCGATACACTACTCGCAACGGGTGACTGTATTATACAGCCGTTTCTGGTGACACACCACGTGTTGTCATTCCAGATGATACTGATCTGCGTTTGCGGATCATGTTCGAGTATCACGATGCTCCTATAGGAGGACATCGTGGCTGAGAGAAAACATGTATCACGGTGAGTCGAGACTTTTACTGGCCCCGCCAGTATCAGTTTGTGCGAAAGTATGTTCGCGCATGCGAAGTCTGCCAACGAGTGAAGTCAAGTCCTTCACTGCGTGCACCTTTACAGCATCTACCGGTTCCGGCTGAGTGCTGGGAATCCATCTCAATGGATTTCGTCTTCGGGTTACCCAAAGACGCACGCGGGAATACGGGTATTCTCGTATTTGTTGACAGATTCAGCAAAATGGTACACCTTGTGGCTGTACCAGAGACAATCACGGCAAGTGGCTGTGCCTGTGTCTTTATTGACACCATCTTCCGACTTCATGGGTTGCCCCGCGAACTCGTATCAGACAGAGATCCACGATTCACTGCTGATTTCTGGCGTTCCGTGTTCAAACCACTCGGAACGCGCTTGAAGATGTCTACATCTGATCATCCAGAGTCAAATGGTCAGACGGAACGTGCCAACCGTGTCTTCGAAGAGATACTTCGAGGATACGTCCACTCCTTTAAGAGTTGGAGTGAGTGTTTGCCAATGGTAGATTTTGCCATTAACAACTCGGTGCATGCGTCCACGACACGTACACCGTTTTACGTGAATGGCTTGCGCCATCCGCGTGTACCCACCTTACTAGAGTGTAACTCTGGTTTAAGGGGGGAGGGACTCTCGCGAGCAAAAACCGATTTGGTTCACGCTCATCACGCTCTGACGAAGAGGTCATTGCGTTTGATGCCGATATCGATAACATCGATATCGAAGAAGATGATGCCAGTAAGAGTGCGGAAGCCCTCACTGAAGAAAAGGTTGTTGTTGCTGCAGTGCGCTCACAGCACACTGAAGCTAACGAGTCATCAGATGAGTTCATACTGGCTCGTGAAACGGTAGTCCGTTTTGTGCAAGACTCCATCGCCGAAGCGGTGGATAAGCAAAAGCAAAACGCTGACAAGAATGGAAGGGCAAACACTCTTTTATTTAATAAAGGTGACTTAGTCCTAATGTCAACGGTTAATCTACCAAAGCATGTAGTGACTAACTTGGGTAGCAGTAAACTTATACCCAAGTACATCGGCCTATTTCGTGTATTGCACCGCCTAGGCAATGCATACACGATCGAGTTGCCACGTCAGACGTAAACGCATCCCACGTTTTACGTTGGTCGTCTTAAGCCGTACCATCAGTACGCTGCTTCTTCCGATGAAGTACGCCCTTGCGCTCAAGCATCTCGCAGAGAGCCTTGTGCTCCCGATGGTGGGCATCGACAAGGGTCTGAAGAGCAGCTATCTCATCCAGAGACCGGTCAACATCCCCACGAGGTACTCTTAGCTCGTCACGCAGAGATGTCAACGCTCTCTCGTTCTCAAGCTGAGCAAAGGCAAACTCAGCTCGATGCCTCAAGACAGTGTCCGCCAGTTGGAGACGCCTGTCTCGCTCATGTTTGAGATCGCCGCGTAACCCTTGCGTTACGCAATCAAAGAAGCTCTCGGGGACACACGCTTCCCCACGATTGTGTGGAGAGCTTCTTCCCTCCTCCTCCACCTCCATTAGAGGACTCTCGCGGTGGCCAGCGCTATCTGGTTGAGCAGCTGTTGAACCACCGCGACGTGAACGGACGTCGGACGAGTTATCTCGTCCGGCGGCGCGGCTATCCCCCGTCCTGGGATACTTGGGAGCTCCGCTCCCAACTGATGATTGACGTACTGGGTTTTGTTGAGCAGTACGACGCGGCACTTCATGTGCCGCAGAAGGACCGCCAGAGAAAGTCTTTCCGTATCGGTCGTAAAGGGATTTCAAGCTGTCAATCCCTTCGTACATCTCACTAGACATACGTGCGCGCCACCACGGGCTAGTAAGGAGGTAAGCCTCCTTAGGTGCGCGCGCAGAGTTGTTTACACAACAAGGGCACGAGTCTCCCCAGGAGAGACAGGGTAATCCCTTATCCCTTGACAGACGATGCAGCTTGTAGCGTGCACCTGTCGGGGTTCGCTTTTCAAACTTATCACGAGCTTTGATAAGTTTGTCGTTCCGAGCGTCACAACCTACATCCTCAAGGTTATGGATGTAGGCGTTCCACGCCTGAAGCAGTGAGGACCATCACGCTTGTGATTCTCACTGTACCATCGATGTCTAAAGAAAGCATCGATGAAGAACTCATTCTCAGCGCGATAGTTTTTCGCGCTGGGGTCAAGGTGACGAATCCTTGACGAATCGCACAATCGTGTTCGATTTCAACCACTCGTCGTCTCCGACAAGTGATCCATGACAGATTTGGGAGGCATCCATGCCTTCTTCTCAGGAGCGAGACGCAAGACATTGCGGTCCCGCTCTTCCAGCGATGTGCCGACAGAAGTACTGGCACCTCGTTTCGAAGTGGCGTCAATAAGAGAACGACACCACTGTTAGCGCCCGAGTCTCGCGACCTCGAGCGCCTTCGCTTCGGCGATGGTTCATCTGAAATGTCGGATGAACCAAAGATGCTGCGACACATAGCATCATCCATGCCACGCTTGGCAGGCGGCTTGGATTCGATCGCCGTCGATACGGATCCGTCTTCCGTATCAGGACAGTACGAGACACCGAGCTCGTACTCTGTGAAGACAAGAGTGTCTTCATGACCAGCGTCTGCATCACCAAGTGAAATAGGCTGGGTCGCTTCAGCAACCGATGAGACATCAGTTGCTGTGGTTTCTGCTTCGGCGTCCGCACAGAGGCGTGCGGCCGCGCTCTCGGCGGCTTTGCTCGCGCATCGCATGGGCTTGTTAACCATGCGATGAATTGTTGGAAAGTGGACTCGGACCAACAAGTGCAAACCCTGTCCCAAATGATTTGGGACGAGTATCCATTTAGTCAATAAGTCACTTAAGTGACTGATGGTTAAGGGGGGGGTGATGTAACGGGGTGAACCGTTATATAACAATTCAGAAGAAATTGTTTACAGAATATGACTATAAGAGTTATATTCTCTGAATATTGTCATAAGGACAAATATTCTGTAGCACTTACGAGTAATTCCTAATTCGTTGATAAAGGCCATTATATCAACTAACGAAGACGCGCCACGACAGACGCACGCAATGAGTGGTGAGCAGATAGTTGATATGCACATTTGTATTCAGACATAGATAGGTGAGGACAAACAGTGATTTATTAACAGACATTAACTACTATAAATACAGGTCTACTTTTTACTTTAACCAAGTACTCGCTTCTTCTTACCGTCTTCCTCTGCACGTACGAGTGTACGTGAAGTCGAGGCACCGCCTTATTCAGTCATCAAAAAAGTAGCTTGTACTGTCACCAGTACAAGCTTCAGGGTGCCCCGCTACACTGGATGGCGCGCGGACAAAACAAACGATCATATCAGCGCGATTGACGCAGCAGCGAAGCCCAGGTGTACGAATTCAGCGATTGGTGCAGCTGCATTACGTACTCGTAGAATTGGAGTGGGAAATTAATAAGGATAATGTTCTGCAAGGAGAGCGAGAAAGCGATACCAGGGGTTCTTGGAAGTCAACGGCATGAAAAGGGTCCGTGAAAGATATTAGCAGTTGCTGCTTTACAGAATTAGTTTAACACGATACATGCGGGACCCTCTTGGTCATGTCGCCGATTCTCGCAACACGACTGAGCTGTGTAAAGTCTTAATAGCCCATGACGTCACAAGCTGGCGTCACGGTCTGACGTTACAGTCTGACGTCATTAAGAACATCCAAGAAGGACCTATAAAATAGGCAAAGAGATAGCACAGGTTAGCAAAATAAGGACCTATGTTAATTTAGTTTATATTCACTAAATGAACGACAAGCCTTCACGTCTGTAGCACAAGTTGGCCCTTGCCGTCCTCGCTGTTGGAAATGGAAGTGATATTAGAGTGAGACACGGGTGTTTGGAAAAAAACGTGTCGTTTTATGGAAACAGGAAGTTGTTACAGTTGACACTGGTAACGTCGATATGTGGGGACGGAGAGCCCCGTTAGTATAGGAAAGAACATCAGTCGGTAACACCTCAAATATATTTAGTACTCATTTTACCGTCAGTACGCAAGTGTGCTTAGAACGGCACATTCAGACAGGGTTATGAGACCAAAGCTGATGAAGTACACAAATAAAGAGGTGCTGAAATACTGGGACGGCAACGATTGGCAGACATACAAATGGGCGATGATTAATATCTTTAAGGAGATCGACCTCAAGGAAATTGCAATTGGTGACTTGACCAAGGCAGCATTTGTTTGTGACTGCTTCCGTAGAAAAGCAAGAAGATTTCACGAAAAAGCAGCTTATATTTACGCGGAAGATTGATACGTCGGTGCCTCCAGAAGTCATTTATCAGATACGCGACAAGAAAACCGGATCATATGTGTGGAAAGGACTTTGCCATCTGTACGAAAGGAAGCAGAACGAAGCAATCAGGGCGTGAACGATTCGTTACGTGGAACATGTGCTGTGGAGCACGAAGTTAACACCTGGATGAGATGTGAATCTACATATGTGCTAGATGTTTCGCCTTAAAGCGGAATTGGTTAATTTGAAGCACACAGTGAAAGATAATACTATGGTTGACATTATGCTTGAGAGTAAACCAGATCAGATTGAATTTGAGCAGCTAATTCTTGATCATTTTTGGTGCAGACCCTAGTATATATACAGCGGCTCGAGTTCGTGAGCTACTTCTCGCCGTGTCTGCTAGACAAAAAGAGTTACGAGGCTATCGCGGTGGACAGGAAAAGAAGGATGTGTTTCGCAGTGAAAGTCACACATTTGGTGTGGACCGAGGTGCCAAACACCAAAATGGTGTTCGTAAACCAAGAAATATTCGAACGAGTTACATGCGCGGAAGTCAAAACACCTCAAAGCTAGCTGTCCCCAGAAGACTCAAAATTCAGACAGACCTGACTCGCAGAAGCAGAATCAAAAGCTGCGAGAAAAGTTCACAATTTGTCATTAAGGTCATGCAAAGAGTGATGGAGATGCATCTATACAAGCGAGTCCTCTTAAGGATGGCCTTACACCTGAAACGAGGTATGAAGAACTTAGCACCGCATGAGACTCATGGTATTGATATCCATGAGATAATGTATGACACAAAATACGCATCAGATATCAGCCACAAAGATGATGTGGGTGAGAGTAAAACTATTTGGTATTTTGACACTGCGTCAAATTCACATGTTACCGGAAAAAGAGCGCATATTTTAATGTTCTCAGAGGTGGATACAAGTTTGCATAGTATACGTGGAGTGGCGCCAAATTTTGGATCACGTATTGTCAGTACGAGGACCGTAAAATTGGTCACCGAAGTGGACGGGAAAACATTGGCATTAGTCCTGTATAATGGCTTATATATCCTGGAAACAGAATACGGATTTTTTTTCCAGGCCTCGCATTTTTCCAGGGTTTTACATCTAAACTTGAACAAACTACTCAAGCATATTCTGTCATATTGAACGATCGGGTGGTGGCTATATCTAAACTGCAAGTTGATGCTTGGATATTTATAGCGACATATTCTTCTCAGCTGTATCATCAGTTACTACTGCGTGAAGCGCTGTGCAAATATACGATGGTCGATGGAGTTGGGTCATTGTAACTTTGGCATGAGAGACTTTGCCACACCTGTCCACAATACGTAAAAACCATGGTGTAAAAAGGACAGGTACGAGACATGATGCTAACACAAAGATAGCACCGCACGTGCGACGATGCCATTGTAAAAAGCAGAAGAGACAGACGCGTTGGAAGAAGCTTGATTGCGCGACAAATGAGCCAAATCAAGTGGTATATGCGGATTTTCTGATACCGGGACAGTCAAATGCGACTAAAAATGCGGCAGCGCTGGTTATTATGGATGGGTACCCAACGTTCATTACGATAGATTAACTCCACGCAAGGAAAGCAAGATAATAAATTGCATATGCAGATGTAAGTTACATGGGCACAACTGCAAGCCGGTCGATACAAAAGCAATTGTTCATACAAAGAGAAGCAAGTTCTCAGTGACAAAGGTGGCGAGTTTTGCAACGATGCGATGGAGGCTTCGTATTGCTCGATGGAATATTGCACGTTAACTTTGGACCCAAATATCCCAGCTGAACCTTTGTGAAAGGACCCATCCTACTATCTAAGGCATAACAAATTTGACTGTGGCTCATGCGGGCTTTCCCCCTGCCTATGGACTGAAGCTATGCGTAATGCAGTGTACGTTAAGAATCGTATTTACAACAAAAGCACGCAGGGAATTCCGTGCGAGATGATGTTTGGAGCAAAACCTGATTTACACCATATCAGAAAGTTCGAAGCTCTTGCATACGTGCGTGTACTAGTATCTCCTAGACGCAAGGAAAATGATGAGCATGTCAAAATAGATTTGTTCTTGGCTATGCAGAAGAAGCGGTAGGGTGCAAGGTATATTTTCTCGACAACCACACCACTACATAAGTCTTGGATCTACGTGTCACCGAGGATATCGTAAATCATGATCGACATACGTTAAATGGTAAAGAAGAGGATCTTTCCTCGCTACACATTGTTTGAAACGATGAAAAATGTAATACGTTCGATACGGCGAAGAATGATAAATCCAACCAGAGAACGGAGGTAGGAAGATCTGATCCTGATGAAAATTGTAGGTTCAGAACTAATAATTCAATCGACGACGATGAACAGTCTCTAGTTGGTACATGCGGGCCGACCTTAGCCGAGCATGATGCAGATGTAACATACCTGGATGGAAGTTTAACTCCTGTTTTTAAGAGATGCTTTTTCTTGAGAAAGAGATGAGATTTTTCAGGAAGCATTGACTATACAGTGTCAATCGTACTACGTCTTCATCTGGATACTGATGATGATGAAACCCCTACTGTTTACGATGTAGCGCACAAGGAAGTGCCTTGCGCGCAGAACTGACAACCTGATCAAAAAAAAAACCAATTTGTCGATATGAGACACCATCAGAAGCAGACCGAGTTGATCAAGACGTACACAAAGAAGACGCAAAGAGGACACTTACTGGACTTTGCACACTGAGTGAGCGCAAGAAGCTAGGATATTTCAATAATCACGTTATGAACATAGCCCTGACGTCGTTGTATATTTTTGGGTCGACACGGCAAACCTATTCGTGTGAGCGATATCACTCTAACTAGAAGCCATCATGGGATGTTGATGTTGAGATGAAATAGTACTTTTTAGCAACCTAGTTAAAGGAAATGGGTGCGCTTAGATCAAAGGGTGTGATTGCAGAAATTGAAGGTATAGAGGTTCCTGGGGAGGGGATTTTAACAAAATTACCTTGTTAGTGTATGCTGTAAAGACTAATTTACTAGGCTATGTGATCAGACTTAAAGCACGAATTGTGGCTAAAGGTAATCATCAGCGACCAGAAACTGATTTTCAAAATTTTTTGCTACCATGGCAAGGGTGGCTTCGTTTCGACTATTGATTTTTCTAGCTGCCAAGCTTGGTCTTGACATCTATGGCGAAATTCAAACACAGTGTACCTCAATGCCCCATTTAGTATCAAGCATTACCTACGATCAATTAGTGGATATCCTTGCAAGGTTAATGGAAATGTGAACATCGTTCAGAAGGCATTATATGGGCTTCGTCAAACAGGACACGAGTGGAACCCGGAGCTTAACCAGTGGTTCCTGGGCAAAGGCCATAAGCGGTCGCGCACTAAGCCATGCCTGTAATTTTGTTTCCATGGAAAAAAAATCGTCTATGTACTGGTCTATATTGATGACATATTGGC